AAGAGGAAATACTGACCCGACAAATATTTTTGACTTACATTCAGAAACCGGAGAAATAACTTTGAAAGGCAATCTAGATTATGAAGAAACCCGCGCTTATGAAATTCGAGTCCAAGCAAAAGATCAGGGAGCTTCACCTCGAAGTGCATATGCGAAATTATTAATAAATGTGATTGATGTGAATGACAACGCGCCAGAAATATCAGTCACATCTTTAATGACGCCAGTGAGAGAAGACGCACAATTAGGGACCATTGTTGCTTTAGTTACAGTGAGTGATAAAGATGGAGGGAATAATGGTGTAACTAAATGTAACATTATTGGATCTGGTCTCTTTAAACTGAAGTCTAACTACAATAATGATTACTCTTTAGTTGTTGATGGACAACTGGACAGAGAAAACATTTCTGCTCATAACGTCACAATAACAGCTACAGATGAGGGGAACCCTCCTCTGTCCTGCATCAGTGTGATCACTGTGCAGGTGGCAGATGTAAATGACAACAAACCTCATTTTGTAGAACCGGTCATATACATTTATGTCAAAGAAAACCGACCATTGAATTCAAAAATCTACACTGTACGTGCCTTCGATCCAGACCTGGATGAAAATGCAAAAATTAGTTACAAACTGTTAGATAGTTCCTTTGAAAATATTCCAATATCATCTGTTTTAAACATTAACTCAGACACTGGAGATATAATTAATCTGAAGTCTTTTAACTACGAAGAGTTGAAAACATTTCAATTTAAAGTTCAGGCTACAGATTCTGGTGTTCCTCCACTAAGTGGCAATGTGACTGTTAATGTTTTAGTCCTGGATGAGAATGATAATAATCCAACTATTTTAGCTCCTTATTCCGAGCACGGCTCTGTTAACAGTGAGACCATCCCTTATTCTGCTGAAGCTGGATACTTTGTAGCAAAGATCAGGGCTGTGGACGCAGATTCTGGATACAATGCGCTGCTTTCTTATCACCTGTCTGAGCCCAAAGGAAACAACCTGTTCAGAATCGGAACCAGCACTGGAGAAATCAGGACTAAGAGGAGAATGAGCGACAATGACCTGAAAACTCATCCACTGGTGGTGTTAGTTTCTGATAATGGAGAACCTTCTCTGTCAGCCACTATTTCTATTGACGTGATGGTGGTTGAAACCACAGCTGACGTCCAGACTCAGTTCAGACATTTGCCTATAAAGGAGNGCAACTTCTCTGATTTGAACTTGTATCTACTGATCGCCATCGTGTCAGTGTCTGTGATCTTTCTGCTGAGTCTCATCAGTTTAATAGCTGTCAGATGCCACAGGACAGACAGTGATTTCAGCAGGTACAGCGCTCCCATGATCACCACCCACCCTGACGGGAGCTGGTCTTACTCTAAAGCTACTCAGCAGTATGACGTGTGTTTCAGCTCAGACACACTGAAGAGTGACGTAGTGGTTTTCCCCGCCCCGTTTCCTCCTGTGGATGCCGAACTGATCAGTATTAACGGAGGAGATACTTTTACCAGAACTCAGACTTTACCAAACAAAGATAAGGTATGTCATCAATGGGACTTGGGGGTTTATGTTATGGTTCAGAACTGAAATATTGTAATTTTAAGAAGTGCTTGTTAATTTGCTAGGATCAAAAAGGAGAGCAAGCCTTTATGAATGTTGGCAATCATACAGCAATAATATGTCATATTTATCTTCTCTTGTTTATGAGCCTTTAAAAACAACTCTTGTCAATGCTGAAGTGAAGCTGCCTGGTTTAACTTTATTTCTACAAACAAATAAGAACATGTTTAAGCTTTTGTGTGCGTCGTTCAAGGATTATTATACATCTTCCTTGAGACACCACAGCAATACTGTAGTGCATGCAGTTTGAAATTCACATACTCTAGTTAACCTTAGGTACTCACTTGATCTAAAACTACAAACATTTATTACTCCGAGATATAAACACTATAAAAAGGTACAAAAAATGTACTCAATAAGTTACTGCTCTGACTTGCTGTTATAACATTTTGTAATATAGTCCTATTGACTCATAACTAAGCACTGGATATAAGTAACAATGACCATGAAATGGACGTACTCTCAATGTGTGTTTTCTTTACATAATGACACTGTTCAGTTAAAAATTAAGAAGAAGCAAAGAAAAAAAAAAAAAAAGCTAAATCATGTCGACGCTATCCATGGTCCTGAAGTCACAAATACACCATCTGAACACCTCCTTACTCCGCTCCAATTATCTTTGTTTCTTCAATTTATGCAAGAATATTAAATTAGATGGATATCACACTACTGTACAACATGAACAAGATTCTAACTTCATAAAATTTATTTGGACTTTTCTAGATATTGTTATAATATTTGCTTTGAAATGATCATTGTACTCTTAAAATTGTTTTTCATATTTGCCTTCATTATTAACATTTGTATACTTCTGCATGAAGATTTTAATTTATTTAATATTTTTCTTTGTTTTATTAATGCAAATAATGCGTGTACGTAATATGTATCTCAGTTACAACGCCTATCACTTCTGATAATTATTATACATCTTCTACCACATGATGTCACTCGAGACCATTAGTATGAATCAGTTTATACGTCTGCCATCCCTCCTTCGCTCATCTTGAAAAGAATAACCCGTCATCAGCTTTTGTAGCTTCCTATCATTCTGTCGTACGCCGTGGAAAAGAACATACTCTGTCCTGCGAATAGGATCTGCATTTTTTTTAAGATAATTTGTATAATCGGGTCTGCTTTGTTTCCACATTAAGGATGTTTTGGGCAACACAACACGGACATCTTTGGATTTATTCGGCTGCACTGCTTTCTCTTTGTGAGCGGACCATATCCCAGCTATCGTACTCTGTTTCTGAGGAGGTGAACAAAGGGACTGTTGTGGGAAATATTGCCAAGGATCTGAACCTGAACACGCACGATCTGAACACCAGGGATCTACGTGTTGTTTCTGGTTTCAGCAAGACATATTTTGGCGTGAATTTAAAGACCGGAAACCTCTTTGTCGCTGAGAGAATAGACCGAGAGGAGCTTTGTCCACATGCGGTAAAATGCTCCATGAAAATACAAGCGGCTTTAAGCAATCCGATGAATGTGCACCGTGTCGAGATAAACGTTCTTGATGTAAATGACAACTCGCCTTTGTTTATTGAAGAAACACATACGCTAAATATCTCGGAGTCATTATCACCAGGAGAGAGATATCCTCTCCCTGTAGCGGTGGATCCGGATATAGGAAGCAACGCAATAAAAAGCTACAAGCTGAGTCAGAATGAACATTTCTCGCTTGATGTACAAAGCGGTGGAGAGCATGGCGTTTTGGCCGAGTTAGTGCTGCAGAAAGCTTTGGACAGAGAAAAGGAATCGGTGATAAAACTTGTTTTTACTGCTGTAGATGGCGGTTCGCCACCCAGATCAGGGACATTGCAGCTGACAGTCAACGTCATAGATGGGAATGACAACAGTCCTGTGTTTAGTAAATCTCTGTACAAGGTGCATATCAGAGAAAACGTTAGTCCTGGAACGTTTGTTCTCAAGTTAAATGCGACGGATTTGGACGAAGGTGTGAACAGCGACATTCATTATTTCTTCATAAAAACGGGGAGTATTGATCCGGCAAGCCTGTTTGATTTAAATGCAGAAACGGGGCAGGTAACAGTAAAAGAAGGTCTTGATTATGAAGAAACACGCGCTTATGAAATCAGAGTTCAGGCAAAGGATCAGGGAGTGCCTCCTCGCAGTGCGCATGCCAAGTTATTAATAGAGGTTATTGATGTTAATGACAATTCTCCTGAAATATCTGTCACATCCTTGATGACACCAGTAAGAGAGGATGCAGAGCAGGGAACGGTCGTTGCTTTCATTACAGTGAGTGACAGAGATGGCGGGAAAAACGGAATAACTAGATGCGGGGTCTCTGGATCGCTTCCCTTCAAGCTCAAGTCCAACTACAAAAATGACTATTCATTAGTAGTTGATGGACCTCTCGATAGAGAAAACATCTCTACATATGAAATTACCGTTAAAGCCTCAGATGAGGGAAGCCCATCTCTGTCTACCATTAAAGTAATTACTGTACAAGTTGCTGATGTTAATGATAACGCGCCTCGGTTTACCGAACCCGTAATTTACGTTTTTGTCAAAGAAAACAGCCCAGTCGGTTCAAAGCTGTGCACAATAAGCGCAATTGATACGGATGCGGATGACAATGCAAAAGTTATCTACAGACTATCGAATGGTTTTCAAAAGGGTATTCCAGTTTCTTCAGTACTAAGCATCAACTCAAACACTGGTGACGTCATAAGTATGCAGGCTTTCAATTACGAGGAACTGAAAACGTTTAAGTTTCAAGTTCAGGCCATAGACTCAGGTGTTCCTCCACTCAGCAACAACGTTACTGTAAATGTTTTAATCTTGGACGAAAATGATAATAATCCAACAATTCTTGCACCATATTCTGAACTTGGTTCTGTTAACAGTGAGACCATCCCTTATTCTGCTGAAGCGGGATACTTTGTAGCAAAGGTCAGGGCTGTG